AAAAAGGCATTATTTTTCACATTATACAACTAATAGTATTTGGAATTCCATTGAATTCTGTTAAATTTACATGTAAATAGTAAATCTATTTTGGTTTCATAAGTGTATTTTAAGGAGCTCTGGTGGACTAATGGATGAAGTGCCACCTCAAAGGTAGGGGTTCTAATCGGCCAGCAGCTCTTCAGGTGAAAGATGGACAATCTCTTTCCTTGGGGTTAACAACCTCTTGAAAACCGGCTGGAAGATGAGCTATGACTTGATCGAAATGAGTGAGTGAATATTGTATTGAAGCAACAAACACATGTATATTAATACCTAGTTCTCTGTTTCTACATATTATAAGTTTACTAAACATAATTAAATCAAAACCACAGATCCACAAACATTTTTCTTTTAGAGTAAGTTTATGTAGAAGACTGAGCTACTAGAGTAGAAAGGAATAGCTTGGCATTTGGAGTGTTAGATCAGAACTCAAGTAACTTCTTTAGCTATGCAGTTTCCTTGAGAAAACAAAGTAAAGATAAATACATAAAACACTAAGTACAGTTCCTGGCCACCAATTGATCCTAAATATCCATTTTATAAAACTTTATTCATCTTTTGAAATGAAGAATAATTTTTAGGATCTGTCATGCTACATTACCAAATACTAAGTTAGACCTTTAAATAATTTAAAAGGATACTGCAATACAGATAATATTTAAATTTTCTATAGCTTTACTTTATACTTAATAATCTTGTTTTAAATTAACTGGCTTAATTATCTTTAAATATTTATCTTTTAAGTTTGTAATTTATCTTAACCAGTAAAAAAGTTGCCTTCTTAAAAGCTGTACTATTATGAATTACAGTAACACCTGCAATTCTACACGTGAAATATCCTATAATAATTATTAACAACTAACAAATTACTTTCTACCTTTTTAAAAAACAAATATACAGATGTTGATGAAAAAAGTAGACATAATTACAAAAATTAATCTAGGAAAAAAGAAATCTTAAATGACCTTTAAAGTGAATATAGGAACCCATCAAAAAATGAGTGGATAGAAACACTGTGGTACATTCACACAATAGAATATTATGCAGCACTGAAAAAATGAACTCATAAAATATTACATAACATGGGGGAGCCTAGAGGACATTATGATGAATTAAATATGTCAGTCACAAAAGAACAAATAGTGCAAAACACTGCTGTTACAAAATGGGGATGTGACTGGGAAGAGAATGGGAAAAGAGTGGATAGAGAATGAATACTGTAGTAGATCAGATAAGGGGAAAATTCCTAAAGGAATATATGATTAGGTATTATATGCATAACATTAATCTGGAACAAGGGGTGCATTTCAGGGAGGGCTGGAAAATGGTGAAGGGGAGGGAAGGTAAGAAAATGTTCAACAACGAAAAAAGTAAAATAATGAATATAAGGTCAAATTTCAGGCTACATTCAACACATGAATACATGACCAATTTTAAAACAATGATTTTGAATTCTAAAACAAGAGTATGTGGAAAATTATTTTGGGGCTATATAACATTTATTGACATGAATATAAAAATACGTGGGGTTTTTATACCCCAAAAATGGTAACTAGAAGATAATAAATTATTTGTAAATTAATTTTCAAAATGTCAAGTTATCTTTTTTTTATATATTATCATTCAAAACTACTTACAGTTTGATAATATGAGGATGGCGAAAGAGTTTTAGATTTTGAATTTCTCGTTTTATTTTTCCAACAACATCTAAACTGCGAATCTTCTGTCTATTTAAGATTTTAACTGCTACTTTATGGCCTGTCAGTTGATGTTCTCCAACTAAAGAAAAGAAAAAGGGGGGGAAAAGGTGCTGTAGTCATAATAATGTTATCATTTATTCATGATTCCTCCTACTGCATCCCCAAAATTCTTTAGTCACATGTACTGTTTTTTTATTCCTTTCTGCACAGAATTGAAGTTACTTCTTTCAGTTGTGTCTCTTTTAGTAGAGTATGCATTCCCTGGGGACAGAAACCATGTATCTTATTCATCTCTGAATCCTCAGCACCCAGCACGACAGAGAAGATAATGATTAAATATTTGTAGAAGAGAATTCTAAACTCTATATTCCTACAGTATAATAGATCATATTTGGAACATCTTTTCTACACAAAGTAGTAGTGTGTTATGTGCTTCCCTGACAACTTTAAAGGCCAGCAATTCGACTCCACTAAATGCTCCAGAGAAGAAAGATGGATGGTCTTTCCATAAAGGTTTATGGCCTTGAAAACCTGGTAGAGGGATACTATGAGTCAGAATCAACTGGATGACAATAGGTACATTTTTTTTCCTTTCTTTCTCCTCTTTTGCTTGACATTAGTCAGTGTTTCAAGAAGTCTAAGTTAATAAGTATAAAAAAAAATACAATAAAAATCCATAGTAACTTCCATTACTATTTCCTCAGAAAGTTCACAGGAAGCCTTTTTTCTTTTGCCTCTTTCACAACACCTTCCTAACAAAGCACGATCTCAAGGATGGCACAGGAGAAGGCACGGTTTATAGAGTTACTAAGAGCATAGTTAATACCCCTGGTACAAGCAGTCAAGAAATAAGGAGAAACATTGCACTGGGCAAATCTGAAGTTAGAGACCTTTCCAAATTATTGAGGAGTAGTGATGTCAGTTTCAGGACTAAGATATGTCGGATTCCAGCCACAGTCTTTCCAGTTACTAGTTATGCATCTGAGACCTGGACAGTGAATAAGGATGACAGAAAAAGAATTGACACCTTTGAGCTGTGGTTTTGGAGAAGAGCACTGAACATCCCATGGACGGCCAAGAAAATGAATAGATGTGTCTTGGAGATGCAGCCAAAGTGCTCTTTGCAGGCAGGTATGAAGAGGCTTCACCTCATAAACTTTGGGCATGTTGCTAGGAGGTACTATTTCTTGGAAAAGAACATGATGGTGGGAAGGGTGGAGGATGAGTGAAAAAGAGGAAGACCCTCAACCAGGTAGACTGACATGGTGACTGCTGCAATGGGCTCTTGTGTGTCAAGAAGTGTGAGGATGGTGCAGGACAGAACAGGGTAGATCTTTTGTTCATAGGGTTGCTATGAGTTGTTCTCGACTCAATGGCATCTAACGACAAGAACATAGTTGACTAAACAGCATTTTTCCTATTTGATAGAATGTCTTTCATAAACTCTCAAAGTATCTTCATACTCATTTAATTTACCATTTTTTTTTTACAATTTTTAAACAACTGAGTATGTGACAAATCATATGGCATAATGCTCATGTCTTCCTTGACTAACACAGTACTCATTTGAATCTCCCAGGAAGCATGCAGCACAGGGTTTTATGCATGTTTTTGGTTTTAAGTGACACTGGTCAGCTCCAATTCATAGCAACCCCACACAAAAGAGAACAATCTTGAAAAAAATAAATAAAAATTGCAGTAAGCGAAATAGCCCTCTACGTTCCGAAGACATGTTCAGGTTTGTCATACTAACAAAGTGAATACTATGTTGTAGTACTTTGTTGTTGTTATTGTTGTAAACTGTCGAGATGCTGACCCTGCAGTGGATTTTCAAGAGTCCGTTAATCACACGGGAGGAGATTGCCCATCCTTCTCCCATTCACCTATTTTATCGTCTCCTGGTCGTAGGTTTTTCAGGATGCTTGGAAGATTGTTTATGTTGTGGATTAGTGCTTCCAGGGTTCTTCTAAGGTTTTCTCGAATAAAGTTAGATAACATGCCCAGATTATGTGAGACAAAGTTAGTCCTTGGTTTTAGTCCTAGGTCTTTGATCCACTTTGAGTTGGTTTTTGTATATGGAGTGATGTGTGGGTCTTGATTGAGTTTTCTGCAAATGGTTTTCCAATTTTGCCAATACCATTTGTTAAAAAAAAAGCTTTTGTTTTCCCACTTAACTGATTTAATCTCCTTGTCAAAATTCAGTTAACCGTAAGTAGATGGGCTGATTTCTGGATTCTCAATTCTATTCCATTGATCTATGTGTCTATCATTGTACCAGTACCACACTGTCTTGACCACCAAGGCAGTATAGTAGGATTTGAAATCAGGGGGGGAGATGCCTCCTACTTTGTTTCTCTTTTTAAGGAGAGCTTTGCTTATTCGTGGTCTCTTTCCATTCCAAATAAAATTGTAAATTGCCTTTTCCATATCATTGAAGAATGAAATAAACACAACTATGGGATATTACCTCACCCCAGTAAGAATAGCAAAGTGCAACAGAGCAGCAAACAACAAATGCTAGCGAGGTTGTGGAGACACTAAAACCCTTATTTACTGTTGGTAGGAGTGTAAAATGGTGCAACCACTATGGAAGGCAGTATGGTGCTTTCTCAAAAACTTGCAAATAGAAATACCATTTGACCCAGCAATTCCTCTACTGGGAATTGCTAAAGCAACCATAACTGCCACCAAAGTAGATATATGCACACCCATGCTTACTGTGGCTTTGTTCACAATAGCAAAGAGTTGGAAACAACCCAAGTGCCCATCAAAAAA